TGCACATTCCTCAACAATATTTGGACATTCCTTCTGCCTCCTGTATCAAATTCAAGGAAATTCGAAAAACTATCACACATCTCTTGGCGCATTCTTGATGCACTTTTGATGCACTTTTGATGCACTTTTCCTTTTTTTTACATTTTACTAATTTTGCAAAAATCAACAAAAAAATTACGTAAAATCTTCTGGATTAGTAAAATTACTAAATTAGTAAAATTACTAGCTTTCGAGACTTAGGGCACGAGATCTACATGATCGCGGCCGAAGAGGCCGGAGCCGTCAATCGGAGAATGACACAAGTCCACAGTTTGTTCAACCCTTTACTGGTCAGGAGACGGACTTGCTGCATTCGTGGCTGGTATCGGTCATCGACATGACAAAAAAAGAGCAGCGAGCTCAGATCGGGGTTTATGCATGTCTTGTTTGCGTTCCAACGTTGTTTTGAGGCGGGAGCCACTGCACGAGAAATACCACGCCTCGGCGATGTGCCAAGCCGGACAACGTAATTGCCTCCGGGCAGTCTGTCTCCTGGCCCCGCGATTCCTTTCACGGGCAAGATCGCCCGGCACTGTCGGTACTCTTCTTGAATGCGTTCTTTGGCCGCTCCATTAGAAAGTATGGTAGCATGGTGGCACATGTCTAGCCTAGCACACCGCTTGCTGCTCGGACCGGCGGCCGAGGCATTGATGCATGGCATCAACGAGTTCCCCGACGCCAAATTGGTGGAGCACATGGAGCAGATTTTGTACAGCTTGAACCTGCTTTCTTGCAGCTGGGCAGCAATAAGTTGCGGTGTGCGTGCAGATATGCATGCTCATTTGAGCGCCGTACCTGCGCAGATTTGGTGCCATTGCCATCGTTGGTGAACTGCATTGACCCGTGGGAACAGTTTCACAAAGCCTGCGAAGCATCCGCGGCGGTGTGCTGATCTAGACCTGAGTGCTGCAGAAGTACTGGGCTGCAACATATTTTGACAGAGAGTTTGCATCGCAGTTTCTGGCATAAACCCGTGGCTCCATGTGACTTCTGCGAAGGGCAGACCAGCATCCCGCACGCCGTTTGCTTGTTTTGCGCCGAACCGGACCTGACTGGGAAAAAAACCGGAAGAGCGCTTTGAGTCTGTGATGTTGTGCTTCAGATCATCGGATCCTTGTTCACGCTGTTACCCATGATACAAACATTTATCACGGCAGTCACTTTGCATGTTTGCTCCTTGGCTCAAGGTATTCATAGCACCTCAAAAAAACATTTGTAAGAACGCAAATTTCGAAACATGTTTCCGCCCGTGCAAGCCACCATGTCAACGTTGATGGCATGGGAGAAGCCCGGTGTTTCTTCATTTTATTCACATAATTCGAGCATGTTGGCAACCACACGTCAGGAGCTTACTGGACAAAGGCGCATTGGCGCCATTCAACGCCTCTTCGCTGGCATCAAGCACGAGATCTACATGATCGCGGCCGAAGAGGCCGGAGCTGTCAATCGGAGAATGACACAAGTCCACAGTTTGTTCAACCCTTTCTGGTCAGGAGACGGACTTGCTGCATTCGTGGCTGGTATCGGTCATCGATATGACAAAAAAAGAGCAGCGAGCTCAGATCGGGGTTTATGCATGTCTTGTTTGCGTTCCAACGTTGTTTTGAGGCGGGAGCCACTGCACGAGAAATACCACGCCTCGGCGATGTGCCAAGCCGGACAACGTAATTGCCTCCGGGCAGTCTGTCTCCTGGCCCCGCGATTCCTTTCACGGGCAAGATCGCCCGGCACTGTCGGTACTCTTCTTGAATGCGTTCTTTGGCCGCTCCATTAGAAAGTATGGTAGCATGGTGGCACATGTCTAGCACACCGCTTGCTGCTCAGACCGGCGGCCGAGGCATTGATGCATGGCATCAACGAGTTCCCCGACGCCAAATTGGCGGAGCACATGGAGCAGATTTTGTACAGCTTGAACCTGCTTTCTTGCAGCTGGGCAGCAATAAGTTGCGGTGTGCGTGCAGATATGCATGCTCATTTGAGCGCCGTACCTGCGCAGATTTGGTGCCATTGCCATCGTTGGTGAACTGCATTGACCCGTGGGAACAGTTTCACAAAGCCTGCGAAGCATCCGCGGCGGTGTGCTGATCTAGACCTGAGTGCTGCAGAAGTACTGAGCGGCAACATATTTTGACAGAGAGTTTGCATCGCAGTTTCTGGCAGAAACCTGGGAAAAACCGGAAGAGCGCTTTGAGTCTGTGATGTTGTGCTTCAGATCATCGGATCCACATCATCCGTAAATTTTCTGTAGCCATGCCCAGTCGAGTATTAGATGATTCCTAGACCATCGTTTGTACAAGATTATCTTGTACGTGGATCATTTAGCCATTTGTACCTGAAAAGTCCCTTGGCCCCAAATGAGCGTGATCGATCGTGAATTTTGAGATTTGCCTAAAATCTCTTCTCCTTAAGTGTTTTGCCACGTGTATGATCGTTCTTCTCTGCCCAGCCCGCCCTCTAAGATTGCGATTGGCCTGCAAAAATATAGAGGCTGACTTTTTTCCTGACATATATCTTCTGTAAGTACAACACTGGGGAAATTAATACAGCGTATGTGAATAGTGCATCTACCATATATATATATATGCTTTTTGGGGAATGGCTAAATTATATCATCAATATTCACCAATACTGTTAATGTGTGGATTTATCATTGGGGCCCATGCTTGAACGATACCCATATATGTATATGTGGGGTCTGTATTCACACAAAGGATGATCAACCTTAAGGACATGGATCAGCTAATGGTTATTTCCCAAAAAATACTCTAAATGGGGAGTCTGCAGCCTATTTTTTCATACCTTTGGGAATCTACAACCTGGGAATATCTGGGTATATATTTTGCCACCAGCTAGGGATCTGCCATCCTACAACTGGGAGTTCACATTTCGTGGGGTATTGGATATTTAAAAACCGGGTTCTTTTTTAAATTTTATCCCAGGGGAAGATCAGCAACAACTCGGTGCGCCTTGCCTTTTTTCTGAGCCGGATAGCGTAGCTACATGTCATGGGCATATACACCACAGGCCACAGGATCTTGGATGTATCTGTAATTTCACACCAAGGTTGACATACATAATTGCATCTCCTTACAATAGACCAGTCCAATAATATATATATATATATACCAGTAGTACCGCACAAGACGGTGGCGGAAGTTTCAGAATAGGAAACCTATAGGAGACGTTGGTTGTTGTGAATCACGGATGGCAGAGCGAATCCACTGATTGACCGAAAGGTGGTTGGAGTTGTGTTTGCTGGAGTGGTTGCAATGTTTGCAGTGGTCACCTAACCCACAACTGCTGGATGTAGTGTGATGTACTGCAACTGTAGTTGTAGTTGTAGCGTAGTGGAGTTGTAGTTGTGGTGTAATGTAATTAGTGTAGTGTAGTTGCAGTCATATAGTTGTAGCTGTAGTTGTTTTGTAGTTGTAGTTGTTGTAGTTGTAGTTGTAGTTGTTGTTGTAGTTGTTGTTGTTGTTGTTGTTGTAGTTGTAGTTGTTGTTGTAGTTGTTGTAGTTGTAGTTGTTGTTGTTGTTGCTGCTGTTGTTGTTGTTGCTGTTGTTGTTGCTGTTGTAGTTGTTGTTGTAGTTGTTGTTGTAGTTGTAGTTCTAGTTGTTGTTGTAGTTGTTGTAGTTGTAGTAGTTGTAGTTGTAGTTGTTGTGGTTGGTGTTGTTGTTGTTGTTGTTGCTGTTGCTGTTGCTGTTGTCGTCGAAGTTAGGGTAGTTAAGTTAGTGAAGTTAGTTAAGTTAGTCAAGTTAGTTAAGTTAATCAGTGTCTACTTTTTTCGACATCTTCACGTCAAAAAAGGCTCAAAACCCTCAGTTTTTTACACTTTGAACTTCGAAATGTGCTTCGCGCCACCACGGCGTGCACTTTTTCGACACTTTTTCGACATCTGAACCTCCAAAAGTGGCCCGAGACCGTCAGTTTTTAACACTTTTGACTTGGAAATGTGCTTCGCGCCACAACGGCGTGCACTTTTTCGACATCTCAACTTCCAAAAGTGGTCCGAAGCTGAGGTGTTTTGGACATTTTGACTTGGAAATGTGCTTCGCGCCACAACGGCGTGCACTTTTTCAACATCTCAACTTCCAAAAGTGGTCCGAACCTGGTGTGTTTTGGACATTTTGACTTGGAAATGTGCTTCGCGCCACAACGGCGTGCACTTTTTCGACATCTCAACTTCCAAAAGTGGTCCGAACCCCTGGTGTTTTTAACATTTTGACTTGCAAATGTGCTTCGCGCCACGACGGCGTGCAATTTTTTATCTCTCATCTGGCCAGCTGGCTCCGCACCCGCCGCTTTAGCGAGCCTACTTTTCGACCCTCCGGAGCCCCAAATCATTGGAAAAACAGAGTGTTTCGCGACTCTCCTACCTTTTCGCGCATCTGCATCTTCTTTCTTCTGATCTTTTCTCTTCTGACTCTTCTCACCTCTGCTTTTCAACTGTCCATATTGTCGGAAGTTTCACTTCTAAACTTCCTTCGGTTAACCATATATTAACCATTATTAGCCATTATTAACAATTATTAACCATTATTAACCATTATTAACCATTATTAACCATGATTAACCATTATTAACCATTATTAACCATTATTTACCATTATTTACCATTATTATTGTAGTTACTTAATGGATCTTAATGGTTCTTAAGCAGAAATCCCCTTTTTCACCATTTGCGTTCAATGGTTTTTTTCCGCCATTTGCAGATCGTTTTGGCCGCTGCAAAGCTCCATAGACTATTGGGCGAGAACCCAAGTCAGCCAGGGTTGATTACCGGAAGAACTTGGAATAAGATCAAAATCATCTAAATCCTGAAATCATTTTGGCCTTTTTTTAAGCCATCTTATAAAGCATCAATTCTTGGGATATTTCATTAAAAGAAAGCGACAAACAACAGCAATTTCCATCCATTTCCCCTAACCCCCCTGGAGATTAGATGGGGCTGCCTCTGCAAGGTAATGGCAAGCAGAAACAGGCCATGAAGCTCTCCGATGCCTCTCGGTATGAAGCTCCGATGGACAGGAAAATCCATGACCATCGCCTAGATTTATAGATAATTTTCCTAGCTAGAAAGCTTCATTTATAGGGGATTTCCATGGATTTCCATGGGTTTCCAATCAACTAACACTTCGCGAACTGGAAGCCATGGCCCATTTGGTGAGAAATGATTTACCGAACTTCAAATGCTGAGTTTCCATAGTTATTAGTTTACCAGAGGGTACCAAACATCATTTTGTTTTTTTTTTGGGGGGGGTTACCCTCTGATAATCAAACGTGTCTGGCTGGAAAAACCTCCAGAAAATCGTTTTTTTCTTGGTGATGAATCCAACATACCACACTCCCCTGGTGAATTGGAATCTATTCATATGCAGAGAACCATATCAAAAGTATTCAATATTAGATGGAAGCATCAATGAACCTGATGGATCAATCATTTCCCGATTGCTTAGTGCAATAGTAGCCCCTTCATCAAAGAACTGAGGCTATATTAGTGACCAGCACTGGGGGGTTTGGAGACATTGAATCAGCAATTCCACGATCGGAGAAAACGATCACCCAACCCAAGATGGGGATACCGGGATACACATAGAACTACCGTCCGCTGACCATCATATTAGATTCATCCAATGGTCGAAGGCCATGGCTTCGTCGCTCGTTCCTTAGATATCTTAGATCTTCTTTCTTCGAAAACCTGAGTATTTCAAGATATTTCAACCATGGCATCATGGATTATATAATCTGGATGAACCATGATGAAGCATTTATTCAAACTACCAATTTGGTTCATAGTTTCAGCAGATCGGTCCATGCAAGGTGGCGCCGAAAAAACCCAGTTCGTTCGCCAAGTTGGTGAACACCAGGAGAATATACTCCAATAACTAGGCTTCATGGTGCTTATAACATCTTATGATTATAGTTTGATCATGTTTGATCCGAAATACTTAGAACATTGTAAAAACCGTTTTTGGGGATGCTCCTCGCTTCACAATAATTCCCATCGGGGATGATTTTTTTCGTCACCAATTTCCGCCATGTTCGTTCAAGGTGGTGCCCCCGTTTACGATAGCTATGGCCATTAAGGTTTACAACATTTACAACGACAGTAACTAGAAAGGGTTTGATTATAGATTCTATATCATGATATATCTAACTTATAGGGCGTTTATAGGGGATATATCGTTAGATGGGATTATAGAACCATTTAAAACTTAAACATATCAATATCATCATAAATCATAAGTCATAAAACCACAAAAAACACTTAAACACTGAAACATAATATAATCATAGTATAATCAATAAAACATCATAACTATCACAGCTGGCAGCCCATCACCTAGCCGATCTCCAGGCCTCCTTGGGCAACTTTGATGCGGACGAATCACGCCTGGCCTACTTGGACACTTGTCGACTCGTTCGCGTGGCGTTCACGTGTAGGGCCGAACGCGTAGGGTGGTGAATAACTACGGTACTTAACTCATGTGGTGAAATACGTTGATTATATGGGTCAAATATGGGATATATATATATATATACAGTATATATATCTGGTTGGTGGTTTGGATCATTTTTTTATTTTCCATAATATATGTGAGAATCCTTCCCATTGACTAATATTTTTCAAGATGGTTAAAACCACCAACCAGATATTTGTTTATCTGAATTTGTACGTAGTTATAAACCCTATGAGTAGTATAGATTGTATCTAAACCATAGTTAACCTATAGTTATAAAGCATCTTACAATTGTAGAAATTTTGCATGGTTTTGTAAATTTGGGCATACACTGCGGCATACACCAATTTCATAAGCCTCAATTGGGTGTGGTTTATTATTGGGTTTACCACATTAATCACTGGTAATAACTAATTATTTTCACCAACAGTGGAAAAGACAGGATGATTTGATGCTGATATGTGGTCATACGAACTAGTTTTTCATGAATGGGTGATTATCAGTGATTATCACAGGAAAATCATTCTTGGAACCCCTAGAACCAACCATCACCTGTAGGGAATTTGGACGACCTTCGGACCTTCGTCATCACGGTGATCCCACTGATGAAGTGTAGGGCAGCTGGGGTGTATCCAGCTAGATGGCTTTAAGACCGACTTACACAAAGCGCTGGCTTGAAAGAGTGTTTTTTTTTCCTGGTGTTTTTTTTTGAAATCCTGAAAACTTGTTTCGAGGGGCGCTTCTGACCTGAGAATTAAGAAATTGTATTTGACAAATTGATAACGTATACCCACAACATACCCCCTATTACCCCCTCCATAGGAAACTGTAGCTTCCTGGTGATCCACCCACATCCTGTGTCAATGGCTCCCCGTTGCTGAACTCACAGACCATGATCTATACCCTCTGGTTATGAGTCACATAGCCATGGTATAGATGGCCCATAGAAATAGATGGTTTACCGAACTTCAAAATAGTGATTTTCCATGGCGAACTGTTAAATAACCAGATGGTATATATATATATGCGTGTATAGTATATTGTAACTGTAGACCATTTAATTGATGATCATCCCTTTAAAACACCATTTACAGAGGATTTTCCAGCCATGGACAGAGGCTTGCCATGTCTATAGCCTTGCCCATCTGATTCGACCAGGAAATGCAGAAGAGTGCCGCAGAGGCTCGCAACAAGAACCGCTCCGCCCTTTGCTTTGGCCGCTCGGGACCAGTTGGACCTGAGGCAGCCCCACGTTCGGCGAAACAACGGAAAAATGGTGGTACATACTAGCGGGGACCAGCAGTTCGAACATGAAAGTTGGGGATTTATCGAAGTTAGAATACCCCCCCGGCGTACAAAATTAGCATATTCTATCTGCATTCACTTAAATTTTTATATTCTAACTGCCAGTCCCTTCTTGTAACTGCAATCTGGCCCCCCCCACAGTTATGTTTGTGGGTTTATAAACCCCGAGAACTAGTTCGTTGTGAGTATGATAAACCATAGTTCTCCATAGTTATTGGAGTTGTATATATGTATATATATATATAAACCAACTTAGCTATCTAGGGGGGCCCACTTTGTGGGGTCAAAACATGGCTAGGAATGGATAATCCTGAAGGACCTGGAAGAGTACTGGCACTGTGATAATTCATTTACACAGCAACCAGGACAACCAAATCATTTGGCTTAACCCGTGAATAGTCCTGGTCAAAAAAATACTACTTGCAGGACCTGTCTATTAGCTACTGGCGAAGAATTCCGTTGAACACGTTTCGCTTGCCCACAGGAAATTTCTCGAATTTACACATACTTGGGCGGTCGGGCTTGCCCAATTAAGACCGCAACCACTGGAAGATCCTCCGGTGTATCAAACATACTGTAGTGATTCACAGCTCATCGATATCTATAGCTGGTTGGTGGTTTGGAACATGACTTTTATTTTTCCATTAAGTTGGGAATTTCATCATCCCAACTGACGAACTCATATTTTTCAGAGGGCTAGGTATACCACCAACCAGTAATTGTTAGTTGGGCCATCATATATTAAAGTGTATGATGAGTTGATTTATAAACCCCAGAAACATCCATTAACCATGGATATATATATATATATATATATGTTCCCATATAATCCCAACCAGATAGTTGTTCTCCTCAAGCTCTAGCCATCGATGGGTTTCCCAACTTTCACCCCCTCCAGTTGGATCGCCGGGATGGTGAATTCTACCCACAGTTAGGGGGGCCCATTTTTTAGGCAGTCAGTCGTTGTGATTCAGTGAAACAACCCCATTTATGGAATGAGAATCCTATTTATAACCCCAAAAAAACTGGCTTCAAGGCTTTAAGTCTCTAAAACCAACTTAAACATAGCGAATCATCACTGACCCCTGCCAATCACCATTTCTGATGGTAATTATCCCCTGTCAAAGCCACCAAAAAAAGCCATCGGATAATCGGTTGATCTACTCACGATTGCCCCGAGGTGATGAAACTGCTTCCGGTGGCAAGAAGGTCGCTGCTTCCGCGCAGAAGGATGTGACGATGGCAGAGTCGCCTGGTTTCACCATGGGTGGTGGAGATGTGTCGCCTTGGGAAACATCGAGAAAGATCCGTGGAAGCAGCATGGTGGAAACCCTTCGGAACATGATGTACAAATGGTGGGTTTCCACATCTATGTTAGTTTACCAGAGGGTAATATCTTTAGTAACCATATTGTTATAAGCCATTTATAGATATGGGACAATTAATCACTTGGGAGAATGACTAACCAGAGTTGCTAACCAGTTACTAAATGGGATGATCCTCGAAGTGGTACACATAGTTGAACATGCTTTATACATACACACACATAATCACATATATATATATATACGCATGTGTTTCCCTCATCATCAGTGCTACAACATGTGCCACTTGCAAAATGAGAGTCGGAACCTCTGTTCTTTTTGTTCAGATCCCCATTTGGTAAACTAACATAACTATGGAAAATGGTTCCTTACAGATGATTTACATATAAAGAATGAAGATTTCCCGTAGTTTTTTTTGTTAGTTTACTGGAGGGTAGATCACCATTTCCGTTCGAAGAACTGGAGTTCCCTTGTTGCAATCCCGCAGATGTCCCCGAGCTGATCGAAATTTGAGGAAGCGAGAGAAGGCCAAAAAGTTGTCAGATGCGTCGCTGGGGTGACTTGCGATGCACTTCAGCATGCACCAGACATGAAACGATAGCTAAAGGCGACCATTCATCTAAGGGTTTTTTAAACTACATTTGCCTAGTGTGCTACTTTCCACTTCCTTTTTCGGATCCTTTTTCGGGATATGTTGTGTCGCTGGTCAATTATTTTCTCCCATTGAATTTAGGTCGTAATTCTCCATCTTCAGACAATCCCAAGCGGCGGATGAGTTTTCCTCCGTCCCCATGACCAAGCTGCACCGTCCCCCCCTTTTTAGCCAAGAAATTCAGGAAGTTTGACGCCGATGCGTCGCAGATTGCATACCTTGACATGCAGAACACCGCTGCAGCAGCTCGACATTTCTGGGATTTTCTGGGGTTGGACGATCCCTAAGGACTTTCATGACCTTGGAATGGTTGGAAAGCAGCAGTCAAACGGCTATAGTAGGCTGTGTCATGCTGGGTCTCTGTGTGTTTTTGTATAGAGGCGAAAGATATGACTCTGTGATACAGTAAACACAGTGTGTTCTGTAAGTTATAAATCTACAGTCTATCAAAACTGCAGTAAGACAAGCATTTTTTTCTATGTCTTTTCTGTACTTCGAGGGTCAAGTTTTCTTTCAATGATGCCTTTGCCTGCAGTGGACTGTGGTCATGAGGAAATGCGAAACAAGAATCGCGTGGGGCAGGGTATCTTCTGAGCTGCGCATATGGTTAGACAGGTTGGATCTCAAGCCAAAGCTGGGTCCGGGCATGGAATGCATGGAAGGTGCGATGGAATATGATGGAATGCTTGGGGTGAAACAACCCACTGTGACCCCATGAAAATTTGTATGAACATGATGTTCGAAGAAAAAAGTAAGGCCATTGTTGGGGGGGTTCGCCCAGGTACTTGGCCAGTTACTCTGACATGTGGATTCCTAGTTTTGAATGCTTTTGATCGTCTTATGGTATATCCACAAATTTCGATCTGTGTCACCTTGGTAAACTACGTACAACAGCGAAACTGAGCAGTGCCTGAGATCCGGTTACTTCGAATGTCTTTTTTTGGCTGCGTGAAACGCAGCCCCCAAGGGTCCCGCTTTCCGCAGGTTTCAAAAGCAGCTTGACCACAGTTCAAAACTGTGCGTGTGAAAAAAACCGTGTGGAAGTTTCGCATCTTTCAGGAGTTGCTGGGATCATTTCACTATGAAACAGCCATTGAAATCATCTAAGTGGCAGCCCTGGAAGAGATCATTTTTGGTCCCGTCGATGTTCCAAATGCCTGAGACCGTGCAGACCGGCACAGAGAGGCATTTGCGAGCACAAAGAATCGGCGGCTGTTGATCCACCGGTTGGTGGCTAGATTATTCCAGATGATGAGCATATCTGTGGCATTTCCATCAACCGGTGCGCTTTGCATGGTATTGGCCAATAGCAGGCATGGTAAGTCAACCATTGGACATTTACGATGGTTTGAATATGCTTCATTTGAGTCAGAGGCCATGCGATCTCCTGTGACATTTTATGCTGGTTGCATTGGGCACTTTCAAGTGGGCCGTTTTAGTTTCCTACAAATGGAACGAGGCCTTGGCCCTTTGCCAACCGTCGAGATTCAGCGTTTGAAAGTCATTCGGGTGGTGCAAGGGTTGTGACGGCCAAGTCATTTGGAAGTGAACAAAAGAGTTTCAGAAGCGGGAAACATGCAGATTTCGTAGATACTTTATGCCAAAATGTCTTTGCTTCTCACCTGCTGTTTGACTTGAGGAGCTTTATGATTCAGTTCCCAGTTTTTGTCGACAAGTAGACAAATCAGAACTTCTCTTGAAGAAAATTGTACACTTGCCACCTGCGACGCATGCCCCTGGCCATGCGTACAATTCATTGCGTAGCACCCCCAGAAGATAGAAGAGTAAAATCCAGTTCAAACAGTTAAAGCTCTTTACCAGTTATTTTGATGGTTATGAATGGGGTGACTTAGTGACATCCATGACTGGTATTTCGGACCATAACTGAAAGGAGAAAGGTCAATTTCACCGTAACGCAATCTTTTTGGGTTTCACTCGTTTCTCATACCTTGAGTCACCTTCCAGATTGCTTTGTCAGAAGACAGGATACCCTAAATCCAATGTTCCCTACTAAAGGATATTAAAAGATATTAAAAGCACACTTTGCTGGAGGTATACCTCATTTTCACATATCCATATACATATATATATATATATATCCCATCATATCCCATTCACATTCCATTCACCATTGCAGGGTCGCAGACGGCTGCCGGCCAGCTGCAATCTTGACCTGAAAAAGTGGCAGAAAAAGGCGGCATTTTTTTTCGGCTGGGGCATAGCAAGGTGGGGCCCGTAGTAGTGTTTGTTGGTTTGTAAAGCCCTACGAATTTGTGCAGGGCTTTGGATTGATGTTCATTGATGTCCTGTGTTTTTTTTGCAGATCATTTTCAGTTGATGAGTCTGTTGGAGATGATTAATTTAAGGGCTGCCGCCCCCGCCGACCCTGGAAAAGAAATGGCAAGGCCTTTGACGCCCCTTGGTCTGAGCCACATCACATCACATGTAGTCAAGGTTTAAGTGCAAACGTTTGCAGCACATGGCTTCGCCACGCTTAAACAGCATGGCAGTGAAGGTTCCAAGCGCCGGCCAAGGGCCGGCTGTCACTGTCTAATGTCGCTTTCTGCCAGCAGTAAAAGAGGATAAAAGGTTATTTGATGAACCAAGCAGGCAGCCCCCCAAGGCTGGTTCGCCACGCTTAAACAGCATGGCAGTGAATGTTTCACCGCGCCGGGCAAGGGTTGTCGAGCCATGCAGGCAGCCCCCCAAAGGCTGGCTTCGTCACACCTTGTGAGAAGGTATTGCACAACCCTGCCAAACCTACCTAATCGGATATGGGTCAAACTTGGGAAATCCAGTATAGTTGAATGTTAATATACGTATACGTAGACTAGAACCAGAGGTCCCCGAGGGCTTAACTCCTTTCTTTTCAGCTGAAATCGGTGTATGTTGGGGGTAAAGGTGGTAGAAAGTTATGTAGAAATGTGATGATGATGATTATGATGATGGTGGTGGTAGTGATGATGGTGGTGGTGATGATGGTGGTAGTGATGATGGTGGTGGTGATGATGGTGGTGGTGATGATGATGGTGGTGATTATGATGATGACCGCTAGTGTCTTTTCTTGCCCCTGCGTCATTTTCATGACCAACAAAAACCCGAACATCATGTTAAAAACACCGAGATGAGTTAGTTGAATTGGCATCATGCTGTGCAACTCTTTGTGATCACTTTATCTCCGTGGATCATGATCAAAAACCCAAGAAACCTGCCAATGGGTTTTCTTCAAGCTTTTTCATTTTTTGATATGACTGCTTCCCATTGGCTCAGAGGATTCTCACAAAGCAAACTGAAAAGACTGAGATGGGAAACAGGGCGAGCCAAACTGAATAGCAAACTCAAACTCGAGGCTTCCAAACAAGCTCCTGTCCATCATGATTAATGCAGGTGTGATATATCATGTATCTTATACACTAAATCACTAAAATGATGAAACCCGGGGGGTGTCAATTTAGGGTTGACGGTCGGCTCCCAGCCTCCGGCAAAGCGAATTGCAGTAAGGAGGTCCATTTCCAGCATATTTTGAGGAACACATGAAAAAAAGAACGACATCATGCAGCTTGTGAGGTCCCCAAGCTGCGCCATGCATTTTTCGCCATCCTCAGCTGACTTGACAACTTCTTTGCGCAAGCAACGATGGCGCCATGACCGGACGTCCCTTGAAGCTTCCGGGTGCACCCCCGTTCTCCGGATCATTTTGAAATGGAATTTTGCAGTCACATTAACAGTCTCAAATCCCGAGTTGTGAATTGTCTAATATCAATTAATACGAATTAATATCATATTATGGCATATTATGGCATTTTGATTCCATATGATTCCATCTTGTACATGGCCCATAGATCAAATAGGCCGAGTGAATTACATTCTGATTCCCCGTGGCCTGAGGAAGGTCGATCTACCACCGGTGCTTCATCCTACGTGATGGGGTAGCTCCAGTTTTTCAAATGGATTAATCGCAATGATCCCAACAAAACCATTGATATGCATTACTGTATAAATCATATACATATATATGATATATATATGTATAATGTATATATATATAATAATAATATATATAATATAATAATATATCTAATATATATATATTTTTTGAATATATAATATAATATATATAATATAATATTATACATAAAATATATAATACAATACATAATATACAATATATAATATATAGGTTATAATATATTTAAATCTAATATATAATTTATATTATATACTAAATAATATATAATATATAATTTTTAACATTTAATATATAAAATATAATATGTAATATTTAATATACAATATATAATATATAATAGATATCTTTTTAGAATAATATAATATGCAATATATAATAATAATATATATAACAGATAATATATAATATAAGATATATAGTATATTATATATATTATATGTATATATAATATACTATATATATGATTTATATATAAACAATATATATATATTATTTATATATATATATAACATATATATATGTATATATATATATATGTACATATATATATATACACAACCAATTTACTGGATGGATGAGCATCTAATTATAGATATTTACAGAACCCCAATTTACTCAGTGGGATGAGCCACCGAGTAGGTCCGGATGTTGATTCTTTTATCCCAACTATCACCCTTGAAAATCCTTACGTTTTAAAGATCATTTGATATCATGTCAATGTGTTAATGATCATGTACGTTAATGACTGATTCTCTTTATTCTCAAGTTGGCTCACAAAACTGTATAATTCTTGTTAGACACCCACGTTTTCGTTTTAACAACACTCCCTTGTGGAGAGCCCCTGATCCTTCGGAACGGCCACCGGCTCCAGGTTGGGTGTTTCAAAATGGGAGACGCGTGCATCGCCACGGGTTTAAACACGCCACGGATTCCAAGACATCAACAGTCTGTTTTTAGGATGGTTTAAGAGTTAAGTAATGATCGGTCTCCCCATGTATCCCCATTTTTTTGGCCGATTTGAGTCGGGTAATTTATGATTCAGCCAGATCTTGGCCACCGCTTTGAGGTACTTTTAAGGCAGATTGGCAGCTTTTGTTTTTCCGTGCTTAGTGAAACAACAGAAGTAGGAGAAACACCAGCTTGGGATGATTCCAAGTGGACAACTGTGAACAACAAGAAGAGTGTAAACTATCTGGATTTGTTGGCCGTTTCATTTTGCGCAACATAGCTTCAACATAGCGTTGTCCACCAGCCATCAGAGTCTAGCCATGGATGTCATGGAGAGACCTTCCACAGCTCTGGCGTCATTGGAGGAGACTTCGATACTTCTGTCATGGTCAATAGTTAGAATTTACCAATATTGATCATTAACCACTAATAGTCAGTTAGTATATAGAATAGTTAGTACATGAGTTAGAATATACCACCCCATTCATACTGGCTGGTGGTTTGGAACCTTTTTTTTCCATTGGCAAAGATAAAATCCGAACTGATTTTCATATTCACCCCGCTTCGCGTGGGGTGGCCGCCCACACCGCAGGTTTATTTCGGTCCGTGAGAGGGGCTAAGGGTGGTTTTCCCCCGTGGGGGCTCCCCAAGCTAAGAATTTTCACTTTCCCCCCCGTGGGGGCTCCCCAAGCTAGGGAATTTTCACTTTTCCCCCCCGTGGGGGCTCCCCAAGCTAGGGAATTTTCAC